CTATAGTTTTTGTTGTTCATAGTTTACAGTACATGTAGTTACTATAGTTTTTATTGTTCATGGTTTACAGTACATGTACTTACTATAGTTTTTATTGTTCATGGTTTACAGTACATGTAGTTACTATAGTTTTTGTTGTTCATGGTTTACAGTACATGTAGTTACTGTAGTTTTTATTGTTCCTGGTTTACAGTCTTACAGTACATCTAGAATATTTTTAATGTATCTTCATTTCTAAAAAAAGAGGATATATTTTGAACTATGCAGGTGGTTTTGTTCTGTGCTTTGCATTTCTAACTGTGTATGGTATGTGCTCTAGACATCTGAATATACTTTACCTACATCTACTTAAACACCTGCTGTTACTGGTGGGAGCAAACATCTGGATATAAAAGATATTTGTTTGAAGTACTGACAGAGTAATCCTTTTATATGATGTTTCTAAATATTTGTGAGTTTGATTAGATATGATGAGAAATATTTTTCTTAATGAAATTTTTTTAAACATTCATATTTAAGGTTGCATTCTTACTTCAGTCTAAATAGTCACACTGTCATACTACATCCTGACTGTAGTTTGAAATTTAGTGTTATATTTAATGAAATATAAGTAGTTCAGTCTGAATGTTTAAACTGTTGAGCAACATCAGTTTTACTTTGAATACTTGTGCATTATTAATGGTACAGTATTATTTCACCCTGGACAATTACACTTGTATATTTAATGTTACATCACTCTGGCCACTTACACTTGTATATTTAATGTTACTTTATTATTTCATTCTGGACAATTACACTTGTGTACTTAATGTAGCATTACTCTGGCCATTTATACTTGTGTACTTAATGTAAGATTACTTTCCTCACCATGAACAATTACACTTATATACTTAATGTTACTTTTTTGTTTCACTCTGGACAATTACACTTGTATACTTAATGTAACATTACTTTCTAACATTTCAAACAAATTCATATTTTTGTATCTATTGCAGACTTGCCAACACTTATGATTGAGATGTAATTGTTCCAAATTCTTTTCATTTTATGCTTGTACAAATTGTTGTGTAATTTTAAGATTTTATGCAAAATTCTGGTATTTTTTCACTGATCTTTTTTTCTGGAAATATTTTACGGCTCTCTGCTTTGCTTCTCAATCTTACAAACTCTTGAAATACTCTATTATAAACGTGTATAAGTAGTAAGCATCTAGGGTGCACTGATCATTTTTTGAGAGGAAAATGGCAGAAAAACATGGTTCTGTTTTGTCCCCAACAAAGAAAAGGTTCAATGACACTGAATTATGCCAGATGTTACTGTTTTCTACATTTCTCACAGAAGTGAAAATGACATAAAAAAAACATCTCAACACCACTAACTACCAGCAAAATTATCTGTGGGCACCTGAAATTAATAAACTGGAATCATTTTTCGTAAAACCCAATACCAAATCAGAAAATGATGTGATCAGATTGGAATGTTTATTCACCTCCATTGTGGAACACAATCTTCCTTTGGCAGTTTTGGACCATGCTTCAAAATTTTTTTACCAAAATGTCTCGGGATTTAGAAATTGCATAAGAGATACAGATGCACTTGAATCAAAAAATAATTTTAATGTTACTCACAATTTACAGTTGCACTGCTGGCCATTTCTCTAACTATTGCAGAGGGGGCTTTCAACTTATCCAATGATGGCAGTAAACTGGAACCTATTGTAGTGACATACTGCGACAACAACAAGGAAAAGGTAGTAAATGCATTAATTTTTAGTCCCAAGTTAATTGGAAAATCAACTGGTAAGAATATTGCAGGACTTCTTCAAGAGGAACTAGTGGGAAAATTGGGTATCATTAGCTGTTGAAAATACAAATGTGATGATAGGGAGAAAAAAAAGGAGTTGCAGGTTATCTTCTGAAACTTAACCCTGAAATGGTGATCAGGGGATGCCTACATCACTTTCTTCAGTCTGAGGACCCAATTATCTATTGCTTACAGAGAATCTTGTTTACTTTATTCAAGGATTTGTTAAGCAGACTTGTGACACCACATACAATTTCAAAGACAGAAAACTTAAGTTAAAAAATAAGAACTTGGTAATTGGTTATGAAGTTGAGCCTTTCCTTGCAAAGCTTGACAAAGGAAGCCAGCTCTCTTTCCAGAAGATGCAAGAAATTAGTATGAAACTTTGAAACATGCAGATATATCTGTTGTTCTTTGGAATTGGTGGAGTACTTTGTTGGAAAATGCAAGCCATTCATTGCAAAGAATGCACCTTGGGCTAGTACAATGAATTATCTTCAGCAGCAACTTCTCACCTACCAAGGTGATTCATTGATTGGTGTAGATCTTAGCGAGCCAGCAGACAACTGTTGGTGTAGTATCGGAAAAATGAAAGATGAGCTGGGCAATTTTAAATATGATAAGTTCTCGGAAGTAATGAAGTCTACCCTTGTAATAACACACAGCAATGCAGGTCGTAAGAGGGTTTTCTCACTTGTTTGCAAAAACAGGACAGACTTTCAAGGATCTTTGTCAAACTCCACCTTAGAATCAATGCTAATAAGGAAGATGGAGACGGCACAACAACTTACAGATGATTTCCTAAAGAAAACCAAGAGTGCTACTTGCAGGGTTCTTAATCAGAAGTATACTGAAAATAGTAAGGATTAAATAAAACAAAATTAGTAGTGACCCCATTTCCATTTTTTGCTGTTTTTCCCTTGTACTGGTAGGGATTACTGTTTTTCAAAATTTAATGCTGACAGGTGTTATTGTTACTACTTTGCCATGGATTACTTACTTATTAACATTAGTACTTTGCTCTGGACTATTTCCTTTACACATGAATATTTAAATAATGTTACTACTAAACTCTGGAGTGTTTACACTTTCATAATTACTTAATTGTTGCCTTTTTCTTTTGGAGAGTTTAGTATTTATTTTGATATGTATACAAAGTTTTTTTTACATCTTGATATCTGTTTGATACTGCTAATTCAGTTTAAAATTATTTCTTTACAGAACTATTGCATGGCATTTGTTGGCACAGTGTTCTTTATACATGAAATTGTTAATTCTTTGATAAAGATAGTTTTTTGTACACTTGTAATGTATAAGGTTATTATCGTGTATTTTCTGCAACATTGAGTATGTGAGTTGACTGTTTGTTTCATAGGTTCGAGAGAGAGGAAACTCACTTATCTTTCATAATATTAAAATATCTTATTATTTGTAGTGGTGTTCAGTTTGGTCCACATATTGTATCATACTGAGGAATTTTATTCTTGTGTTGGTTAAAAAATCACTCATTTTCTACGTAAAAGACCCTAGTATTTGTCCATAGGATTAAATGAACATTTTGTGTGCAACTTATGTTATTAGGGCTATATAACTCACATAGTCTTGAACCCATAAGCTACTTGGGGTTCATATTGACTCCTTTGGTAATTTTGTAGTTAAGTATGATTAAAACCACCTCCATTTCTTACAGTGTGGGGTTGGGTTGGCCATGGTATAACATCACAACTGAAAATTGGCAAGACCTTCTTTAAAGAGTGGACAACGGAACCTGAGATTGTTGTATCTCGCACTGAAGCAAGATTAGGGGCTGATTTTGCAGCAAGAGCATTTGGAGGAGAGGAAACCATCACTTTAGCCGGAGGAGAAGGTCTTTGTTGATATTTTAAATATGAGTACATAACACCTGCACATTTCTTAGTGAACTTTGTAGTAAACAATGTCATGAAACAGAGTGGCAAGTTAGGTTAGCTGTAGAACAAAGATAAAAATGAACTATTTGTGGTGTGACCACTTTGGTATCAAAACCAAATTTGTAGTATTATAAGCCCTTAAACTTACCACTGAGAGGAAGATTAACAGATACTGCTTGTAAGAAATGTAAATAAACATGGTGAATGATGTAAATTGTAGATAAGTAGATCAACACACACATTTGATGGTGGGAAATATGCTCTAAAATATTAGACATCTGGTGGCAAAAAATGTACATAAAAAGATAAGATGGTGATAACAAGAAAAATTCTTTAGATATATTTAATCTTTAAAGTTTGTATTGTGAAAAACACAAAGTATTTTCTATTAGTAGTGATTATAATCTAAACAGTTAATCAAATGATGCTTTTACAAAGAAATTAATAAAATATAGTGTAATGAATGTTTTTTTTTACATGTATAAAATATCACCTTAATTCATAACAGGATTCAAGCTGTTACAAGTACTCCAAGGTCTCGTTTCTGCTTACATTCATTTGTCATTCACCAAAAAGTGGGACATATGTGCTGGAGATGCTCTGCTGCAGACTGTGGGTGGAAATGTTACCACTTTGAAGGGAAAGCCTATTTCTTATGCAGCATCTGATGATGTGGACAATAAAGGAGGACTTTTAGCCACACTGTTTAAACACGACTTTTTTCTCGATAAATTTAAAAATGTATAACACGATTGGTGTCAATATAGCTTTAGCAGGATGCCAGTTCACACAGGGGTAAAATCATTGTATTATGCAGTAGTTGAATTACCTATGTAATTTCTGTTTAGTTGGGTACTTCATCAATGTGTTAAATAAATATTTGGATAGGCTATGTATTCTATGAAAATGTAAATTCCGGTTCTTAAGAAGCAAACTGAAAGGATTGTAACTTAACTTAACTTATAAAGAAATACTTATTCAAAAAGTCAGGTACAATGTACATTGTCAAAAACATAAATAAATAGTTTTCCAACCTTTTATATGATCTGTTTATTAAATCATTCAAACAATGCAAACTAAGGGTCAAAAGAGTGCAAACATCACTAGAACATCAAAAAATAGCTGGACGAGGTCTGCAATTCAGTAGGTCTAAAAAAAATCACATACAAAACTATGAAGAAAGGTAATCACTTTATTATCTTCTTGCTTAAAGAGTTGTTGTTTCAGTCTGAAGTTATTTGTTAAAGATACCTTAGTCATTTTGTTCATTTACATGATTCTATTAAGTAGTATATACATCAACAAGTTTTATATTATTGTCTATTATGATGCACCTATAAGATCAAACCTCTGACAATGCAGACTATGCTTCACAATCTACGGAATTCTTCTACCAGGTAGTGTGGAACATAGTTTGTGATAGTCTGAAAAAAATGACAACTATTAGTATAAAAAATGTATGAAATATAAATAAACTATTAATTCACTAAATACTGTGTATATGACTGTTAAAAACAAAATTCTGCTAAGTTGTGTGGAAAGTAGTCTGCAATAATCTGAAAATATACTAAGTTGTACAGTATAAAAGATAATCATTGTTATATTACATGACAGTATACAACTGGTGAAGATAATTATAAAACAGAAAGGAAAGTGTAGAACAAACCTTGAGGGGAATCTCTCCAAACTCTCTAAGTTCCTCTAAAAATGCTAAGCAACTGACAATATCCACAGGAACATCACTACGACCTGATCTGTAAGAAAGCAACTTTTTATATAAGAAACGACAGCATTATAAAAAATTGAGTCTGGCACTTACTCTCAAAGCTTTTGTCATAAAAAAATATAATGAATATTAAAATGCACAGACAGTAAAATAATTTTATATCTTTTCTTTAGTTATTTTGGAAAAATAACCTAAAATGTATTGTGGTTTTTATTATATTAATATGATAAGTGACAATGTACAGATATTTACATATAAGTAGGAAAATGGTACAAAATTACATGCACAAGAAGCCAGGTATTGACTTGTTACACTTATAATTTAATGTTGAAAGAATTTTCTATGATATGTATTTAAAGTTGGAAAGTCTTAATGATGAGAGCTTTAAACCCTAATGTTTTTTTCATCTGTTGCTTTGAATAGAATTTCAAGTTCTTTTACTTCAAATTGACAGTCACATTCTATAGTATGATGTACAACATGAATGATGCTCTATAATCTCTGGTAGTGGACCCAATGTAGCCTTTTAAGGACATTTATATACATGACAAGGCAGTTCTGTATTTTATTAATTTTGTCCTTGGATGAGAAGAAGTTCTTTAGTCAAAAGGACTTCCTACAGCTGATCAGGCAGATGGTGTGGCAATGCTGCCTTGACCCAAAACTATCAGACTTATTCATATCACACTATGAAAGATAGTGGTTAGCCAATTGTATGAATGAACTCAAACCTTTATTTTACACAAGAAATGTTGATGATGCTTGTGTTCTATTCCACAATAAGGATCAGGCCAAACCATTTTTAACATATGTAAACAAACAACATCCTAGCATTAAGTTTCCTGTTGAATTTGGGAATAATTTCAAAGGATTATAAAACATTGTACTTCTATCTGTAACAACTCACATTTTAATGCTATGGAATGCAACTAGGATATTAAACTTGACTTTCTATTCAGATGAAAGAACACTGAAGTTCAAAAAGGCTCTGGCTATTAAGACATTCTGAAATAAATGTCATGAATAACTGAATGGTGGTTTGTAGTTTGGTGAACTTAGAGATGTATCTTTTCTTGCTTTGTCTTGGAATCTTTTTCTTATAAAGATTAGATAATAAAGAACATTTACATAAATTGAAACTAATTTTTGATACATATATAAATATGTCATTACCATCCACCTAACCACTATCCACGATGTCAGAAAAACACATAGGCTCAAGAAGTCTTGATACAAGATGAGAAAAACCCTATAACTTAAGCACTTTTGAAAGGTCCACCTTTCTTCTTCAGGGGCAAACTGGGAATAGTGGTGTAATCGAATGAGTGATATATAAAGGGAGTTGAGTGATGTCATGAAGGTCATCTAGTTTTCCAGAAAATGTTTAGTGTATTTTTCCATGCACTGTTGTAAGTGTCTCATTTCTGGTACAATGAATGTAAAACAAAATGTTCTTAAACATCAGTTGTCTTATCTTGAAAGTTTCACTAAAATAAAATAAAACAGATACCTAAGCTAATAAGTTCATTTTGAATAACAATAAAAATATAAGTTAGTACTTTCTAGGTATAAAGGTCGGATTGGTTTAAATATTCCAATCTTATTCCAGAAAGAGAGGAGAGTGGCTCATTTTGGGCAAGTATAGTCACTCTGCAAGAACCTAGATTGGATACTATTGGATATACGGAGTCACTTGGCAAGAACTTAGAGTTGCTCACACTGGGCATATAACATATAAAGACACTTGGCAAGAACTTAGAGTGGCTCACACTGGGCATATAAAGACACTTGGCAAGAACCTAGAGTTGCTCATACTGGGCATATAACATATAAAGACACTTGGCAAGAATATAGAGGGCCATATTGAGCACAAAAAGTCATAAGCCTAATGTGTGAAGAAAATTCCCATTCTTGGGTTAGATTCCAGTTTGAAATATTATCAAGAAATGGTAAAATAATCCTTTCCCTGGAATACAGAAGGTATCTGGTAAGAATCAAACAGTGATAAATGTGGAAAGAGTCCACAGTAAGCTAAGTATTATAATGATTACAAGTAATATAGTTTGAACATTATATTTAATTAACCAAGCTCATTACTAGATACACATTTTTAGTTCTGATGTGTGTGTGTGTGTGTAGATTTGATCATAAGCTAATAATAATAATTATTTTACACATTGACTGAAATAGAGATATGGTGTCAATTGTATCTTTAAATTCTGAGTCAGATTTGACAGTTAAACTGATGCAAATTTTAATGCCACCAGTGTACCAAACTAATTTATTGGGTCATAATTAAATTTAGTTAAGGTTAACATACCCTGTATTAGACTCCACAACTGATTTGACCCATTGACCGATGTAGGTCAAGTACTTTCCAGTGTTATCTTGATGAAATTGACGAAGGAAAGTAAGTGTTCCAATAACAAAAGGGAATCCATCAACAGGTTCTACTCCTTTTCTACTCACCAGTCCTCCTACGATGATAATATAGCATAACTACACTTGCATCTTAGCAACAGTAAATTACTTACATTTGCCTAAGAAAACATTCAATACAGGATATTAAAAATAAAATGTACCACCATACAAGTGCTAGTATAGAACAAAGTAATGACCAGTTAGTATAGTAGCTTGATGAAGATGAATAGAGGCAAGGTTTCATCATTACTGAAACAAACACAGAATCTTAGAAAAGTGACTTTTGAAATAACTAGCTTATTGATTTGCTAATTCTTCTGAATAATAATAAATAACACTGATAACAGTTCACTTATTTAATCTACTTCACATCATTACAACTGATGATATAAATAGTATCTAGACCACTACCCTGTCTGTAATTTCCCAGCTGGCCTGGTGAACCTTGTCATTGGATATATGGTGTAGTTGACATATTATTACATATTCTTCTTTGATTTCACTCATACATTCTTAGAATTGTATAAAACATACTTGCTATGAAACCTTTTATCTGAGAAGTAACTTCACTGTGGATTTACCAAATTTTTCATTTATTTAACCCTCAAAATTACACAATGAATCCATCAATAAAATCTGTAAACATGGAATTACTAGGACGTTTCATTTAGTTAACACTGAAATTATTATATAGGTTCCATCAATCAACTTTGTAAACATGGACTGACCAAGTCATTTCATTTAGTTAACACTAAAATTATTCTAAAGATGCATTAATCAACTTTGTAAACATTGAATTACCAAGACATTTCATAAAGCTAATCCTTGAATTACTACATTAACTAGGGGTTTATCATAACATTTGATACCAGAAAAAGCTGGGAGAGCAAGTAACTACAATTAAAATAATTTACAAAGACTTTTTACGTAAGTACTTTAACACCTTTTAGCTAAGTGCTGCTTTGTACAAAAGAGCACTTAAGTTTTCAGATGTGCTTACCAAGGCTTTTGATGTAAGTTAGTTTAGGGAGTAGAGACACTGTGAACATAAACATAAAAAGAGCACTTAAGTTTTCAAATGTGCTTACCAAGGCTTTTGATGTAAGTTAGTTTAGGGAGTAGAGATACTGTGAACAGAAACATAAAAAGAGCAAGATGTTGTAGTGGTTTGGTTGTGATGTAAATCTGAAAAATTTAAAACAAAAAAATGACATTGAACATATTATTTCTGTCTCTTTATTGCTATCTTTTTATGATATATGTTTTTTCTTATCCATTAAACACATTCCTTACATCTATGAAAGTGATACAGCTCATTTTCCTATACATATTTAAAATTTTATAAATAAGCATTATTGATAAATCTCACTGTTTTAAAATCACAGAATGTTGTGTTTCTCCCAATGAACCTCCATACCAAATTTGGTGAAGACCCATCCACAGGAGGTGAGGAAGTGATAAAAAAAGCAAAAATGCCCCTAAAAAGGACAAAACACAAAACTGAAAACTTGTATGTATCTCCCCATGGACCCAATGAGCCTCCATACCAAGTTTGGTGAAGATCTATCCACACCCTGGGAAGCAGTTACATGGACGTGCAACAGACAGTACACTTATATTTATATAGATACACGCATTTTAGATAAATCTTACAGTATTAAAATCACAGAAGTCTTGTGACCTAAATTGAAAGAAAAGCTATTTCCTGTACATATTCAAAATAATGTGTGCTTGCACGCAATGAATTCAAGAACTATAGTAACCTATATATTGAGTTGTTACAATCTACTTCTTCCAAATGTAAATGAATGCTAATACTTGTGTATTTCACAAACAATTTACAGAATTACAATTACCCATATTCATTACATTTTTTGAATTACTGCCACCTTTGGGAAATTTTAAAGTAGTGAGAAGATCCACAATGCTTTTGGGTGTTATTACCACAGATAATTGCCTTTAAAAATTATACCTTTTGTGCTTTTTTTTGAGAAATGAAATTATCTTTAATTTTAGTTTATACAAGCAGTTATTCAGGAAATTGTGATAAGTTAATGTTTTTGAAATTTGTTATGAATAATGGCTTTAGTTTGGAAGTTCACATAGACATCTTGGTTTATAAAAGTACAACTATGCTGTTTGAAATACTTACTTTGGCCAGAGGATTTGATATGCCAGCCCAGTCTAAATAACAAGACAGTTCATAGAGCAAAGGGTTCTCTTCTTTAGGATATGGTTTACTGGGATCTTTATAGTGTGCTTCTATACCAGCTAACAAAGCCCTGCAACAAATAACTCAATATAAAAAAAAATTGGATTGGAACTTTTTTGGGCCTACTGCCTTTACTGGAAGAATGTGAGGAAATGATGTCATCATCACAATTAGAAACTGGACTCTCCAGCTGCTGCATGTTCAGTAGACAAAGAAATAGGCTTGAACTGTTATTAGTCTTTAAATAACTGCTTGTTGATTTTATCATAGTGAGAAGGAAAATCAATTTCAGAAATGACCAAAATCACTGGAGGAATGATTTATCCAGCTCTTTGAATCAGCCAGCCCGTGTACCATCTTACTGAGATGATATGACTAGGTCCAGAGCAAATACATGGGTGTTGATGTTTGACAAAAAAGCATGGAATATTCTCAAATCCACAGAAATGTAAAAAAAAAGTGGAATTCTCTTGGAATTCACTGGATTAAAATGATCCATGAAATAAATACATTGCCTATGGTCACACTGCAACAGTTACAAAAGCACTTAAGATAATTATAGTCCTTCAAACCAGTGGAAATGTATTTAAATAAATTATATATTCATGCATTAGCACAGTTCATCGGTATGCACAGTTGCACAATTTTACAGCTACCAGTATATTATTATTGAAAAAAACAAAACAAAAACTGATTACTTGTAATGAATATGACTTTGTTTTGAAAATATTTTTTTCTTTTGTCACAACATAAGTAAGTGCTTGTTTTTATTACATTCATAGGCAAATATGTTTTACTGCCCTGATGTTCAAAATAAATTGTTTAAAGGTCTATGTATTATTTCTGCAGATTCTGTTTGAGCCTGAACAGAACCCAAATAATATTTCAAAATCACCTAGACACTTATACTGATTATAAATAGAATGGATTATTTAAAATTAAACACTACACAAACACAATATTACACACACATCTTTGGCTATTAATATTTCTGTATGTGTGAGCATATGTGAATAATATTTCCGTTACATAATGACTATTTTTTGTGTATGCATAAAGGTAAAATACTTTCTTTGTGAATTATTATTTTTATAAGTGATTCATGTACAGATATATACATAATGGAGAACACTGGATGTATTTTTAAAATTATTTTTGTAACATCTTTTGTATTACAAATAGTATTCATTCTAGTAATTCTATGCCCTTTCTGTATTATACAGGTTATGATGATAGTCATGTTATGGAATAAGAGCTTGTTTTCTAATTTTCTTATTTTTATTGCAAGTTTTATCACTTAACCCCTTTGCAATAGGTAGGGCAATGTGCACATGTCACAACCTTTTACAGAGTTACATTCAAAATTTAACTAAATTACTTTATTATCAATGTATATGAATAAACCTGGCATCAAAATGTAGTTAATAAATCAAATTTTAATATAAGTTTTATATTCTTAATTTTATAAGGAAATATTTAAAATATCCTCAATCTCCCTCAGCATGAGAACTGTGACATTTGCTTTCTAGGTCTTCCTCTTCTTTAATTTATTACCATCCCTCTGAGAAGTATGGAATTTAATGTAAATTACTCACTATAATATAGCTATTACTCTGGAAAAGCATAATTTTTATAGCCTTCAATCATAGTTGTTTACGGAGCCATAAGCTAAAAAATTAGACCCATGTACCTGTCATCTCCTCTCTTTCTTAAACTGCAAATAATTCTCTCTGATGTTTTACACATTATATATAATCAATGGAAAGCCAAAGTATTAATCTATTGAGTGTCATATCATATTACATTGCTTTCTATATGGAGAATTGCCTATTTCATCATTTATTTTCAAATTTATTGTCATGGGAATCAAATCAACAAGCTTAACTGAATGTTTTAAAGGCTCTTATCACAGAAAATTATGATAGTTATAGGACATTGTTTGCTTTTTGCATGTTCAACAACATAATAAAACAGAGAAACTCACTGATTCATTGTCTGAAGAGCACTTGCCAAGTGTTTGGAGTCAAACTTACAAGTTGTGTTTAGTTCAAACTTAATTTGCCTTCTCAACAACTGCATCTGTCCAACCTACAGAATAGAATAAAAGTTGCTAGTAAAGAAAAATAAAATAGTTAAGTTTGTGTTGTCATCAAATGAATAATATTTGCAACTAAAATAAGAGATAAAGATGACATGACCATAATGAATTAATTTAAAAGTTTTTCATGACTGTTAAACAGCAACATTTGTTTGTTTGTCGTTAAGCATAAAGCTGTGCAATAGACTATCTGTGATGTGCCCACCATGGGTAAAGCAACATACATACTATACTGTGACAAGGTTTTCTTCTTGTAAAGATAAGTATCCTATAAACTCATGTTGAATCTTAAACATCAAATAAATGGATTTGTTTTCTAACCTAAAACTTAATCATTTAAAGTTAACAATTTTATTTAATTGTTAATCTAAAATTTCACCTATTTTTTTCTGAATATCTTGAATCATGCTCAAGATACAACTTTGATCAATTTTATTCATTAGATTAATACTGATATTTACATAATCCAAATATTATAACAGAAGCATTATACACATGATCCAAAACTGGTCAGATTATTTCACGTTATCTACACTTTTTCAGTCAAAGTCCAGCTTACTTTTCCTGTGTATCTAGAATTATGTTAAAGACTATTCAAACTTTGTGTATTTTTGTAAATGACAACAGTATATGAAAGTGAGAACCAAATATTTCAATACCACTGGGGTTGCTATGGTAATCCATTTCATCAGATGTATGCAACTGATTGGTAACAGGTACTAGTAACAGGCTGTGGTTTAGGCCTAAAACGAGCCTATTCCTCAATAAAATGAAAACACACAGACTTCTTAGGTCGTGATGTCCATGTATGTTTGGTAATATAGTTTATATTTAATCAAACTATACATGGTTCATATATGATTAATTTTTCATTATATTTTTATACACTATACTAAAACATTAAAGGTGCAAAATTAAATAACGTTTAGAAAACTTTATGACTGTACTAAAAAAAAAAGTACATTTAAAGGGTGTAGGTGTTATACTGTAGGCTCTCTTAAGACTTTAAGTGTGTTACCTAACCTGGTAACACAGTAGTTTCATTCTGACAATGTGTTACCTAACCTGGTAACATAATAGTTCTATTCTATTCATGTTTTACCTAACTTAGTAAGACAGTAGTTTTATTCAGGTATTACCTAACCTGTTAACCTATGGAAATGGGCTTGTGTATTTTACACAGTATTGTAACTACGATGAAACCCTGAAAGTATACATAGTACAATTATGAAAGTAATTAATGTATCTTAACAATATTGGGCATGCTTTTACTAAACATTACGAGAGAATTATTGGCACATTGTGAAAAAGAGGATGACAGGTGGACATGATAAGTAGGTCTTATTTTCTATGTCATGACTCCAGAAACAGATTAGATTGAATGCTATAAAAATTAGACTTTGCCTTAGTAATATCTATATTATACTGAGTAATCTAAGTTAAATTCTGTACTTCAGAGATGGGTGGTAAATAAATTATAGAAGAGGGAACACCTAAAGAACAAATGTCACAAGTTTCATACTAGGGAAGATTGAGAATTTTTAAAAATATTCTCATATGAAATTAAGAACTTAAAAGATTATATAATATCAAAATTTGATTTATCATCCATGTTTTGATGCCAAGTTTATTTGTATACAGTGATAGTAAGTAGTTTAATTAAATTTTGAATGTAACTCTGTAAAAGGTTGTAACCTGCACATACTGACTTACCCGTAACAAGAGGGTTAAAGCAAATAATCATTTAACTGAATGTGCACAGAGATGGTCCAAGGGCTCAACCCCATACTGGAGAAATATTGTTCATTAAATTTTAAATTTACTGTTATAAAGTGCACCTTCATGAAATTCTGGAAAGCTTTCAGTAAACAGCACAAGTCTGTTGCAAATAAAAAATCAGATGTATTACTAATATTTTTTATTAAAGATATATTTATGAAATTATGAAGTCAATGTGACAACTCTGCAACAAGTCAGAGTACAAAGTAACGTTGATGTGAAAACTAGAATTACTTTTGTCCATCATACAGTTTGCATATTGCATTTACATAAGCTCTGCAATCTTCCTAAATTCATATCTAAGGTTTTTTCAATATCTCTGTATATTGTAATTGGTATTTTTTTTACTCTAATGCAAACTATTGTGAAGTCAGCAGTGCAGGGTAACATTAAAAGTTGATAACTGACATCAATTCATAATACCATGTTGAATGGCACTTTGTACAATGTTAGTGCATGAAGCTCTGAAAGAAAAATCTTCAGAATCTGACCACTCACCTTCTGAATACTTTCTAAAAACAGAGTAAGTGATTTTGTAGCTTTTGTTATGGCCTGACTATACACTCTTGCAGGCTGACCTTCAATATAACAAAAAATTGATCATTAAAAACAGACCATACAAACATATATATAATATATTTGTTGTATACGTTTGTATACACACACACTTTCCCCCACAAGAAATACAAAATACTGTTAGAAAATGACTACACAGCAGGTTGTCTGATCATGAATGAAAACATAACAGTGACAGTAAGTAGGTGTGTAGTGTAATAGTTTTATCTAGAATACCAAACATCACAGTGACAGTAATTAGTTGTGTAGTGTAGTAGTTTGATCATGAATAAAAATATCACAGTGATAGTAAGTAGTCATGTAGTGTAGTAGTTTTATCTAGAATACCAAACATCAGGATGATAGTAAGTAGTTTTGTAGTCTATTAATTTTATCTAGAATACCAAACATCAGGGTGACAGTAAGTAGTTGTGTAGTGTAGTAGTTTGATCATGAATACCAAACATCAGGGTGATAGCAAGTAGTTGTGTAGTGTAGTAGTTTTATCTGGAATACCAAACATCAGGGTGACAGTAAGTAGTTGTGTAGTGTAGTTGTTTGATTTTGAATAAAAACATCACAGTGATAACAAATAGATGTGTAGTAGAGCAGTTTTATCTAGAATACCAAACATCTGTGATAGTAAGTAGTTGTATAATGTAGTAGTTTTACCTTTAATTAAAAACAAAACAAATAGAGAGAGAGAGAATATTAACATACTGATCATACAGTTAGATATTTTGTGGTAATGAGTATAGCTAACTAACTATGCTTTTATTAACTTCTTGCTGAAAAGATAAGAATGTACTACTTCATCAGGGGTATCCTTGCTGTTAAAGATATTTTTGGAGTAAACATAATATCTCACAAGGTTTAGCCAACTTAGGAGATGTACATTTGCTACAAGTCCATACATTAAGTTATGCAAAACAACTTCTATAACAGAGTATAATAATAAAACTAGACAATGCCTAACCTTACCTTATCTTAAAAACAAAATAAGAATATAACTTAACAACAAGCTTTAGGCCATTAGTGACACAACTGTGGCAGTCAACAAGAATGTCCAACCTCTTCACGGGTTAAAAAATTGAGTAATCATAAAAAAACAAAAAAAAACTTGATCACAATTATAAGAGGTTAGGGTACTCATATATGAAACTGAGCAGAAAACCTGATTTATCAAACAGTAACTATTCATATCAAACACAGTTTAGTACGACTTAAGACTTACCAATGAGACAGTGACCTCCTTTGATGTAGCTGTGAAGAGCATTAAGAGTGTCCATCCATGTCTTGTCCTTTAATACTGACCTCTCTATAGTAGCAACTATAGTTTGAAGTTCAGTGACAATCATAAAAGATAAAAGTCTGTCAAGTCCTGTCAGTCCTGGAGTTCCAACACTCCTCTGGAAAGGTTAAAATTTAATATATTCTTGAATTCTTTACTATTATAAAGTTCTGATCAAAAGTAATTTAAATATATAGATCAGAATTTAAATCATTCTAATAGTAATTTATAATTTACAAATACAATCCTTTAAAGCAAATTAACTAAAAATACTAAATATCTTAAATAAATACAGCTAAAAACTAAAATCTTTATTAATAAAAATTAATCTATCAGTTCAGCAGCCTCACTGTTAACAATATTTTAAACTTTAAAATTAATATATGGTGAAAGGTTTAGCCAACATCATCAGATTTTAGTTAAGTTTAAACTCATACACAACTTTAACTTAAGTGTAATATTAGTTTAAGAATAATTTTCTAATAGTTTTATTAACATTATAAAAAATACCATTTAAAAACAACTATAAAAAAATGGAAAATATTATTACTTGTGGTGTTTTAACATTTTTGTGCAAATCTATACAAGGGTTATCTGTACAGACTGCCCTAACTTAAAACTAAAGAATAGAAGGAATGCAGTGAGTCAACAGCACCCACCTTTTAACTCTGTGGCTACTCATGTATGACCAAATAGTGGGATATAAAAACCACTCTGATACTTTACACACAAAAGTAGTGTGTGAATGTTTTGTGGAAAGGGAGCATAAACTGTCAACCCTTGGATTCACGATATGGGCATGCCCAGCCCTACTTCCAAATAATTAAATATTATAAAGCATACTATTCACCTATCCAGAAAATAATATTGTTTTCTGTTAATGATTCCTTAAATAAACATGAGACTCATATTAGGAAATCTCTAAATCATTTTCCCAAGAAATGGCAAGTAACAAACAAAAGATACTGAAAATAAAGCATGAAAACTAGTAATAGTAACAAAGTTTTCCAAACTACTTTCACTGTAAAATCTACTGAATGTGTTTAACAGCAACATGGATTAGATAAAGGTAGCTGGTCACAGACATTGTTAAAATCAGTTGTTTTGTAACACACACACACGGATCAGTATATAAACTTGGGTTAATGAACATGAACTAATAACTGCAGTACTTGCTAGTTTCTGTCTAAATATTCTATTATAGTTTTTACTATATAGCTTATTCTTATTACTTCTATTGTATACATGTAGCAAAAATATTTTAAAAACTTATTTTACCCAACACAATCACATATAATATAGTGTATACACACACCCTCAAAAGAATGAATACATTCATATATATATATATATATATAAGTATTATTAATATGCTAAAACTTTTATTCAGCCTACATTAAAATAAAAAGATATATATAACAGTTTTATCAGAACTCACCTGTATGAGAGAAAATATTCTCATGTTGATGATTTCACTGTGGGTTCTGGAGTCATACCAACCACTCATCTGATCAATGTACACTGTAGTTCTGAAGCAATTAAAACAATTACTGGTAGCTTTTTAGTTCTTAATAATCTTTTAGTAAATAACCTTAAAACAATGAAATCTGGAAATACATTCTTACTTTTATATATACACACACACATACAGGTGGGGTTGAAATGCAAGTGCCTTTTACAGAATGCCATTCAACATGGTATTAAGCATCTGGTGTCAGAATTATCAACTACTCAATTCATCTTACACTGCTGATTTAATGACAGTTTGTGGTAAATACTAGATAAAATATACAGGGATAGTGAAAAAAACTTTAGATTTGCATTTCAGAGGTTGTAAGGGCTTTGCAAATACAAAATGCAAACTGTAAAATGGACAAAAGTATTTTATTATTCACATGCACATCAGTAAGACTGACATTGTCAATTCACAGACATATCTTGAGTATAAATACTCTTGTAAAATATCAGATTTTTTGTACAACAACATTGTACACTTTACTAAAAGCTTACCATATTTCATATGAATACATAATAGGTTAGCCACACATACAATTTTTGTGCTACTTTTATTTAACCCCAAGTTAACCAGCAATGATGGTTACCTTTTTTATAACACTAAACTAATCATTTTGAAATTTAAGATTAAATTAAAAGGATAGTTCTCTACATTACTACTGTTATTTTCATTGGTTTTGTAAAGATTATGAACTATGAATCCTTTCCTTCATTTACAATTTGTGTTCTCATATAATCTAACTTCTCATGAGATTTTTGTGTGTATGTTCACATGCTCTCCCATCTTAAACAATAATCATTCATCACCTGTCCTTGGAATTTAGATGGCTCACACAATGCCTTCTACGGTCACCTTTTCTCATTAACATTCCAGTATAGGGTGGAAAAAAGTAATGTAATAATAGAAGTATCTTGATAAATCCTCTATTATTATAGTGCTAAAATCCTCTATATAGAAGTACAAGCTGAATCAGAGGTAGCATAGAAGCACCTATTGATAGCTGCAATAAGGTGAGATTCCCACAAGGTTTATTGTAATCCTGGCTCTGAGAATACAGTGGGAAAGGATTTACTAGCTTGTTTATAGTACAGTGGTTGCAATGAGAAATGTATAAAGTAATATAGTGTGAGAAAATGTTATATGATATGGCTCTGTACAAAGTCTGGGCCAATCCAATCAACTTGGTTGGTATTTGGATGTTAGTTATCCTTCTAGGGTGGTCTGAATTTAGAGGTATAGGTATACAAAGTGTATAAGTGCATATCAACATGTACATATATTATTACTGTTTATTCAAATGCTTCATTTTTAGTTATTTTCTTAAAAAATAAAAATAAATAAAAATGTATTGAAAAGCAATGATTTCTTGTAAATACAATGTTACAAAATTGATTTGTACTTGTGCATCATGTTTGCCAAGCCTCACCGTAAGCCTTGTGTATTCTTTCAAATGGAGGGGGAAGACAAATTAATTTTTGTAGATTTCATTTTAGAAAATCGAAACATTATCAAATTACTACACTAGTTCACATAAAATCACTAATTTACCTGGTTTTCTAACTTATTATATTTCTGTTCAGAGAAACAACTCAGTCAACAGACTTAAATATTTCCAGTAAAAATCCATCTTTCCCCTTCAAGCCAATTACAAATGACTGTCAGATACAAGTATTTTGGAATATGTTTTTTCATTTGGTTATAAACATGTACATAAGAGATGTAGGAGTGAGCAGACAAGAGGTTTCAAAGAATGGAGTAGTGGGCGGGGCTACTCTGGTAGGTTTGCTAAACATATTGATATCTCAGCAAATCAAAAAGGCAGGAAGTTGTTATCTTATATTCTACCTTGTCAATGTCTGAAATGTGAGTTTCTAATTTGTTAACCACTAAAGACACTGTATGGTAGGTGTAATACAATATAATCTGACCAACAAGACAAGAAGAAATGGCAATGTGACACACAAGAAAGGATATTTAGCATTTTGTTTTTAATATTTTCTTTCAGTTTAAGAAATTAAATCATATATATGATATTAAAAGATGAATTATAAACTAGTTTTGATACCAATTTTATTGACATACATTTATAATAATGAAAGAGCATGTCTGTCTGTATTTGCATGACTGCCATAACCCCAAGATGAAATAACCGAGAGACCTGAAACTTTGCAAGCATAGTAATGGGATTGTGAGGGTGTGCACCTAAGTATTACTTTTTAGGTTTGACTCAAAAAGGTTTGGGCAATTTTTTGCTCAATAACCCTTAAGCCCCATAATTCTGCTTCCTGAAGGTCTATAGAAAGGTATCATATTTTTTCTAATTCTCACTTACTGTATGAACAATATGTGGAGGTTTTCTGCCAAATACAGTTGAAAAAGAAGATGGTCAAAAAATATAATAAAAAGTGGACATATTTTACCAAAAATGAACAGAATTCAATAGGGCATGAGGCCAAACATTTCTTAGCCAGTCAAAGGCACCACAGAGGGAAACAAAGGCATCAGGACCCATGAAACAGGCCCTCAAAATACTAAAAAAGGTTTAAATAAATAAAGTTTGGGAAATGACATCAAACAAAACAGTTAAAGAATTTCGGCCCATGAAAAGACAATAGATTTGAAAATTTTAAATTTTCCTCGGATTGTACACAAACACTTAGAAATAGTCTATTTTATAAAATTTGAATAAGTAATTTTACATTCTTTTTTTTAAATTCAGGAAATGGTATCAACAACCAACATTATCTATGCAGAGAAACTGAAAGGATAAAAAAATTTGCAAAATACCGTGATAAAATGTAATAGAAATATGTGTTATAAAATGTGATGTGAAATTCTCAGTGCAATGATAAAGTATTAAGATGTAAATAAATAACTCTTAAACTTACAGCAAAGATTTTTTATTATACAATAAAATTGATGACTTCTATAGGTTTCTGGGAAAAACAAAATCTTTGAAAAGATTTTTGGCTGTATCTCATATCTAAAATAGGTTCAAAATACAAATACAGACACAGTCGACCAGTAAAATATCAATATCTAAGGTTACTTTTTGGCTAACAGAATATAAAAGGTCTTTTCTTTCAACTCTACTAAGACAAAAAAAAAGTAGACAAATCAAACTAATTCTGTGAAAATCCAAATCAATGACCAAAGTCCCATCCTCTAACTCTATAATTTCAGTAGAGAAGTTAGATCCCCAAAATTTGCAATAAACTTGATTCCTCGATTAAAAACTACCTGCTGTGAAGCTTCAGGGTCCGAATAGAAATGAAAGCTTCAGATATCAATTGGAGCACCAAAGTGATATCAAAATTATGTCACAATAATCTGACCGAGGAATCTCAGAAAAGGCATACTAAAGTTTCAGACCCACAGGTACTGGGTCAAAACTAGAAACAGCAAGTCCTTATGTAGCTTTGAAAGAAATATGCAAACATTTAATTCTTGTTTCTAAGAAATTAAAAGAAAAACATTCATCACAGCATCAAGATTCACAAAGTGAACTGACTAACTCTGTTCTAGTTTTATACAAACTAAACCTGTGATACCATTACTTTTTTATAACCTCACATAAACTGCAAATATTCTATAGCATTCTTATGAAACTCTAAGTTAAATCTTTTAACTAATATTAAACTCACTAAATCTGGAAATATTCTTTGTTCATTTCTGAAACCTCAAACTAAACACATGAGAACTTACTTTGGATCTGTTATTCTTAACAATTCCCTTGCAAGTCTACCAATGAAGTTAACAGATGAATTATCCAAAGCAGGGAATTTAGGTATGGGAATATTTTTGGACTGGTAAACACTCTGCCAATCTTGAACCTATTAATAAATGTTGATTGTTGTGACAACAATGGAACAATGTTTCACTCTGTTAACTCATAAAAAGAATGAAAAATTCACAAAAATACTAATTTAAATATTTAAGTTTAAAAACAATTGAAACCTTTAAAATAATTACTTTATTGAAACATATTTTTATGAACTTCATAATATTAAAATCAATGATCTCTTAAACTTACACTACCTTTCTTTAAATTTATATCAAGAATAGCATAGCAAGATGAAGTTGAATTAATTATATATTTACTGGAAGGTTACAAGGTTATCTAGGCTTTCTCTCAGGATTGTAGCTGTACTGTATTTTTGTTTAGTTGTCATAGCACAGAAAATTTATCTTTTTCTTGAAGAGGAAGAAACAATAGCACACAAACACAAATTAAAAAATGTACATATATGACTGTATTATAAAGTGATTAAATTACACATAAATTATTAACCATGGATGTATAGCATGTTCAAAGAACTAAAATCAGTAGCACAACAAACTCACCTTGTGTCTCAAAAAAGCATTACATTCCAGTTCTACATTGTAGTTGATAATTCTGGAAACCTCTTCTTGCCATATCTTTAAACCATAGATACTGACATAGTCCTGAATGTACTCAAATGAACGACGAAATCCATCCATAACTTGGCCTAGTCCTTCCAATTTAGGAACGAGATCACTAGACTAAAGAATTCAATAATTCTTAGGAAACCAAAAGTAGTTTTGTTCTGTATACTAAATTACTGATTAAGTTAAAGGATAAAACAGTTTATTAAAGTGCCACCCTATTTACTGTGAAAAGAATCCAATGACTGGAATTATACTTCAATGTTAGATGTAGCTAAAGTGTAATTTTTGATTAAGAATGGATATATAGCAAGTTAAAGAATCATTATTAGTGGAACGGGTTCAAGGTTAAGCATTTACATAAAGCCATAAGTCATATCCTCACAGTCAGAATTCACAACCACGTGTAGAAGGATGGATGGTTTTACACAAGAATAAATGACATAATTGGATTTTCAACAGTCAACTGCCATTCTGAATGACATCATAACCAAGAAAAGAAGGGTGGATGGTTTTACACAAGAACAAGTGACATAATTGGATTTTCAACAG